CCAAGCACGGCCCCGATCTCGCAGGTGATGATCGTCTCGACATTCCTCGGGAAGATCTCCTCGTTCTATGTCTTCACGGCCCCGATCTCGCAGGTGATGATCGTCTAGCCATTCCTTGGGAAGATCTCCTCGATGCATTTGTCGATACACTTCCTGCATTTCTCGCATCTCGTCCGCATGAGGCAGCCCCACCTTAGCGGGTAGCTGAATCAGCATCAGCCTCTTCTTCGCCGTCTGTTGGTGCCACAAGCGGCAGATCATGTGCCACATAGGCCAGTACCCGGCCTTCCGTCGCATCTCCACCTTCGGCGAATCCCTCTGCCATGTCGACCAGGGGCCCACCGGCGGCACCACCAACAACAAGTCGGGCTGCTGCTGTTCCACTCGGTCCATGATGCGGACGCATTCCTTGGGTGAAGGGGGCTTGGTAGATTCCCACAATGGCGACGTAGGCACCCATGATCGGCCCATGTCCAAACTCTCGCTCCAATCAATGCCAGTAGGAAAAATCTCCGTGACATTCCAGCCCGCTTGCCATGACGAGACCAACGTGAGCAGTCCGAGAGCGCGTTTTCCAACTGCTACACCCTTGCGAAGCTTCTGAGTCAGTCCTCTCGAAGGTCTCGTACTGCTGCGGAACTCGACATCTCCGGGGCGTTTCCTCTCATCAGATGCGCAATCCGCGGGTCGTGACACAGCTGCCTCGCTGAGCCTATGTGACCCCACAAGCTGCCCAGCTGCTTGCCCATGAGGAGCATTAGCCATCTCGGATTGCGCTTCCACCTGACCCGATGTCCCATCTCGGCCCAAACGGCCGATCTCACCCGAAGCATCCACACGAAGGTCTTCCATTTGAACGTGAGGAGCTGGGCTTGGATGCTTATCAGCACGTTCACCACCAGGTCGTCGGAGAACTTGTTGGACATCGTCGGGAACGGGGCCGCGCGGTCCGTCAAGGCGTGAATCTTCATGTAGGTCTTGGGCTTCGCCTTCGGTGCTCCGGCTGCGGGCGTCGTAGAAGTCGTCGATGCCTGGCTCCTCGATCTTCTCGTCTCCGGCAAGAACGGAGGAGTCTCCAGCCTGGGCACCAAGGCGTTCTCGCCATTCGAAGTCCGCTTGTCCTGCTCCCCGTCCGTCTCCATAGGGCCATTTCCCAAACAGATCTCCAATTCCTCTTCGAGCATCTGGATCCGGCTCACCCAGTACGCCTTCGTTGCTCGGGAACCTTCTGTCACCAGGCTGCGGGGGTCGAGGTAGTCCACCAGCTTCTCCTCCAATTCCTCGACCTGAGCCTTCAGGGCATTGAGCGTCGCTCCTGGAGTGGAAGGGCTCGATCTTGAGGGGCGGCTCGGCGGCGCTGCTGATCGTGTCGCCGACGGTGAAGACCTGCGACCCTCTCGATCCCGATCTTCGACTGTCCTCCTTCCCTTGGCGGACCCCGACTTCTTCTCCGACGATTTGGATCTCACCCGAGTGCCCACCGCGTGCCTCAGGCGCCCCCCCATAGACGGTGGCCTCTTGATGGCGGGCTTCTTCATTCCCTTGGTCGTGGCTCGGGCTTCTTCGTCTGGGTCCTCTGGGGCGCTGTCCACTCGGCTCCACTCTGTGAGCGCACTCTCGGGCTCCTTGTCCGTGCCCTCCCCTTCCGTTGGTGCCGGCCGTTCCTCCTCCACCTCGTCCGTGGTGTCCTTCCGCCGGACCATGGGCTCGCAAGAGAGGATCGGAGATCACGGTGCCGGGGCAGGCGATCATCGAATTGTCACATTCTAACTCCTCAGAGCCTGGAACGCGATAGAACAGGACGGTCCGGGTATCACAAACTTGGGGCAAGGCACGCCGCACAGGAGTAGCAGGATGAACTCGCTCGTCCACTAGCAACGCTAGCATTGAACACTATCCTGCGTGTGACGAGATGCCATGGAGGACCATTACGACCGGGGCCCAAAGTGTGAGTCATCTGCCTATCATGTCGGACCCATGAGCGCAGCAACGTTTCGGGGGAGCTGGACGGGGTACTTGTTCCGGCCTGGTTTGCAAAGTACACTGGGATCGCTTCCGTGTGAGGGGAGATCTCGGGGCTCTCGAGAGGGAGCATATTGTCTGCAAACTCAGCAATGGGCAAGGCATAGTGACCCCCAAACGTCTGGCTAAGTCCATACTTCTGGATTTTGAGCTTGCGGGAGGACACAGTGTGGTTCTCCGTGTCTATGATGATGCCCAGCTGAGTGCATGCCGGCTTAGACAACAAGGGAGGGCAATCACCTGGAACCACGCTCAAACGAAGGAGAACCCTAACTCCCAGAAGTGTGGCCTCGAAAGCAAACGAGAACTCACTCCAGACTTCATGACCATCGCCAAAACGGAAACTTTCCCTCTCCTTGGTTGCCTTCATCCACCTCCCTAGGGCCTTCAAACGCTGGATGTGCTGATTGACCCACTTAGTGCCCGCCACCGACTTCATGCAGCCAATGTCAAGAATGAGGCTACTGTGTAATTCCCGCAATGTCCAAAAGGCTTCATGGTCTAACAAGGAGTTCTGATAGACCTGGGCCATCATCAAGCAACCATTGGCGATCAAACCTCCCTCGGCAACCCCTGGCTCCATGTATCCCGCGATGGACTGAAGGAGATCCCATTGGTCCGGCTCGGAGCTTGTGCCAGCCGAGGTGACATGTACAGCGTGGGCATTGCGTCCATGCTGCTTGCGCAACGGGCATTCCTGGCTCCAATGCCCCAGCTTCCCGCACAAAAAGCACGGCTCCTTCTTCTGCTGCTCCTTCACCCAGGCCTTGGTCTTCTCGGAGTTGGTGCCCTTCTGGAAGAATTGCCTCATCTGCTTCAGCTCATTCACCTTCTTCTTGGCCTTGTACTCCTGGGCATAGACCTCGGCGGGCAGGTTGTCGGAGTGCTCGGGTGGGCTGCCAGCCGAAGTCGAGAGCGTCCCCTCAGTGCCATCGGAGTCGTCTCGCACCTCGGATCCCGAATGCCCCTGTTCCGAGCTTGAGGAGCCATCCCCTTCACTGTCATCTTCAAGGATGGCGTGGAAGACTTGCTTCCACTTCTTGCCAAACCGGCGTCGGAACTTTCCATCATGCCCCCGCCGTTGCCCACGATGATCCCGAAGTCGATCTCCTGGTCGATCTCCCCGGCCCGCACGATCGGCTCGTCCGTTGTCGCCTCGGCCCTTTTGAACCAAAAACTGATCTTCATCAGGAAGGTTAGGTTCTCCTTGGCCAATCGGACATCCCGGTTGTCCCTCGAGCTGATCTGCAAGCTCCAACAAGGCATTCACCACTCGACGCTCGTCCTTCAAGCCGCCCGCCGCCGTCTTCACCAGGGCCTCGTCCTTACGCGTGAGCTTCGCCGCATCCAACAGGTGGCCCAGGTAGAAGTGCGACCCCACCTTGTAGTTCTGGCACGAGTCATTCTCATGGCGGTAGATCGATGCCCTGTTGATGAAACTTTCCAAGGATTCTCCAGGGCTTCGGCTGAGCTTCATGAACTTCTGGCGCTTGCGATCCACCTCCTTGTGCTCCAACAGGCGTATGATCGGCGATTTCTCCATCTCGGACCGGATCAACTCGACCCCGCCCTCCTTGGCCACATCTTCAACGGTGAGGTGCGCCACAATCTTCGCCGCCCGCTCCTTCTGCTGCTGCATCAAGCGAGATCCTCGAACAGCCGCCGGAAGGTGAGCCCCCTCTGAGGCCAACCAGAACTCCACCGCCCTCCAGTAGTCCTTCCAGCTCTCGCCCGGTCTCGCCTTGAACTCCGGAGGGAAGCTGTTGTGAAGTCGCACAAACGGCCCCGAGGACTGTCCTTCGCGGCCTGGGCCCTTGTCCTTCTCGGCACCATCGGTTACAGGGACAACGAAGTTCTCGGCAATGACTTGCCCTTGACACTCACCTTGTGGCCTGCGAAGGGGATCGGTAGCACCGGCTTCTTGCGGATAAGGCAGAGCGCTGGCAAAATCGGCTTGTAGGGACCGAGGAACTGGCCGCCGCTGCCCACCAGCTGCCGCCCCATCAGCCGCCGTTGCCTCCACCTTGGGCGCCGGAGAATTCTCCCTTCTCGACAGGAGCCTTGGCAAAGGCACTGCGTCGCCTTCCGGCGACGAGGATGAGCTTGCGAGGTCATCCTCCCAAGTGGTTCGTCCGCGCCAGCCTGGCCGGGCTGAGTCCAAGTAGCGGCCCCACGGATCCGACGACCACCCCGAAGGTGTCCATGAGCTCCAAGAAGCCCATTCCCAATTCCCCAGCTCATCTTCCCATCCACCGTGACTGGAAGCATCATCTGTCACAGACCAGTTCGAAGGGGAGCGCCTCGAGGGCGCCGGGGGATTCGGAGGCCCTTCCCTCCTCAGTGACCCTTCCACTGACGGGGTCCACGGCCTCGGACACCTTTCTCCGGATCTCAGCACCGTCGGCTGTGACCCGTCGTCGGAATCATCTTCCACTCTCTCGAACTCAAGGCTCGCAGCTACGCGTGGCTCGTCCATGGCTCAAGGAGGCCAGGCCCCAAAGGAGTTGACCCTTAAACAAAACCCACACCCCCAATCCTGGAACCCTCGACCGAGATCCACCGACTAGGCTCAAACCCAAAGCTACCACCGCTCCAAACCCTAACCTGGAGCCCCGCCCTGTTCGGGGCTCCGCTACCACAAGAAAGACCAACCGCCCTGAACAAACTCACCGGGCCTGTTTCCATCCACGCACTGCTGCGAGCCAGCATCCTTGAGCCAGGTCGAGTAGCTGCATGCCTCCACACACGTTGGGTTTACGTGCCGTTTTCGACAGTTAGGGTTGAGGGTTGAGGGTTGAGGGATAAGGGTTGAGGGTTCAGGGTTGAAGGTTCAGGATGGAATTGGATGGCTTTTGTGGGGCCTTGAGAAAGATTGGTTTGGGCTTGTGGTTTGACCTTAGCCTTAAACCCTAGTCCCTAAACCCTATACCCCAAACCCCAAACCCCAAGCAAGCCTCTTCAGGCCATGCTGCTCGCTGCTATGGGTAGGCCATGTAGGTCTTGTAGGTAAATGGCGCGTCTGCAGCCTCCGCAGGCTTCGCGTAGGTCTCGTACTTGGAGGTTCCTGGTACTTACTAACCAACTATAACTGTACTTCTAACTGCACTTATAACCATATTAGGGCACCTAAGGGTTTATACGTGGGCTATAAGTGCAGTTATAATGGGTTAAGAAGTACCCTAAACCCTAAACCCTAAACCCTAAACCCTAAACCCTAAACCCTAAACCCTAAACCCTAAACCCTAATGGACCATGAACCTCCAAGTAGCTCTTTGGCTCCTCTGGAACCTCGACGGGCTTCTCACGCGACCGGCCCATGGTCAGTGTCGAAATGCCGCTCTCCCCAAACCTTGGACCACTTGGAGGTTCATGGTCCATTAGGGTTTAGGGTTTAGGGTTTAGGGTTTAGGGTTTAGGGTTTAGGGTTTAGGGTTTAGGGTTTAGGGTTTAGGGTTTAGGGTGCTTATAACAGCAGTTATCAGTCTACTTATGACCTACTTAGAGGACTTAGGGGGTTGAGAAGCACAGTTACAAGCACCCTGTACCTCCAAGTAGGAACTGCGGCAAAAGCTGCGTTTGGGGGTTTTCACTTAACCCGAGGAAAGTGTTGACGGCTGAGGGCACTGGCTTGGGACCGAAGGCACTTGCGCCTAAACCCAAACCCTAAACCCTAAACACCAAACTTGAAACCCCAAAACCTAAACCCCACACCCTAAGTCCCTAAACCCAAAACCCTAAACCCTAAACCCTAAAACCCTAAACTCCCAAAACGCTCCTGAAGTCTGAGCCTGGGGGGCACCAGCCTGACTTGCGCGTCCGGGGCCAACCCTGCCCGTGGCCAGGTTCTGTTGCAGGGCAGCGGCTCCCAAACGAAGTCGCCCACGGTGTTTTTGATGAAGACCTTGGGGCTTCACAAGGGTTCAGGGTTTTAGGGTTTAGGGTTTAGGGTTTAGGGTTTAGGGTTTAGGGTTTAGGGTTTAGGGTTTAGGGTTTAGGGTTAGGCCTCAGGGCTTGGCGTTCATGCGTAGCTAGGAGTAGGGGTAGACGTACCCCGAAGAAGGTTACCATTAAATTCTAACCACCAATAACTTTGGAAAATCAAGTTATCACCCTAGTTCAAAGAACCTCCAAGCAGGGATCAGCTGTCCGAAAACGCTCGCAGGCGGAAGTTTGGGTTTAGGGTTTAGGGTTTTGGGTGTAGGGTGTAGGGTTTTGGGTCTAGACCCTAGGGTTGAGGCTAGGGTTTAGGGCCTAGGAAGAGCCTGGATCCAGGATTCCGAGCTCGGGCCTTCAGGGGTTGATGGGGCTCCCGCGCCTCAGCACGCGGAGTGAGGGCATGGGGTGTTGGGTAGGCTTTGAAGGCATCGGGTTTGGGGCCTTCAATGTTTAGGACTTGCAGTCTAGGACTTTAAGGCGTTTGGACTTGTGGTTCCCTGAACCCTAAACCCCAAACCTCAAACACCCAAACCCTAAACCCTAAACCCTAAACAGCATTGAGGGGTTTGTGGTCCGGTGGACCTTGAACTGACCCCCGGGCGATGGCATCGGGATACGGTCCCGCCAGAGAGGATACCTGGGCAGTTCGAGGGAGTGCTTTGGGTTTGGGGCTTAGGGTCTAGGGTTTGGGGTTTAGGGTCTGGGGTTTAGGGTTTAGGGTTTAGGAGTTTAGGGTTTAGGGTTTAGGGCCTGGGGTTTAGATTGCAGGGCCTAGGGCTTGAGCTGGATCCCTTAGAGAGAAGGGTTTATGGGAACACTGCCCCAAGACCTCAACCCTAAAACCTACCCTAAACCCTAATCCCCCAAACGCTAATCCCCTAAACCCTAATC